AAAAAAAAAGCGCCAAGAGAAGCGTACGTTGTCCAGCGGTTCGTGTGACGCTTTCCTCAGGTAGTGGCATCGCCTTCGTGGTTGTAGAAGTTGTTAAACTTTTACCTCAGGAAGAATGCCCTGTTGTGGAGAGGAGCTCCAGTACTGTGCCCTCCGTACCCCACGTTTTTGAGTGGGGCTGGCTGGGTCGCTGAGGCGAGCCCCTGGCCCTCCATGGCTTTCCAGGAGCTGTCATCCCTGACAGAGGCCGAGTCCTCTTCCTCCATTAGACTGGAAACGCCGAGAGCAGTGGTGATGAGCAGGACTGGAGCCAGGCTCGCCATTTGTTTTGCAGGCCTTTGGGAGCGTGTGCTGCTTCGTACAGGTTCAAGCAGCAACCTTCTGTGGGCCAGGGCAGGGTATTTTGATAATTCAGGTACTAGCTGTTGGACTGGAAACTCCTGGAAGGAGGTTAGGTGAAGAAAGCAGGGGTAGGAAGCAGGAACTTCAGGGGGAGAAACTTCTTTTCTAGGTGTTAAGAGAGGGCATACAGGAAAGTATAAAACCTTCATATTTACCAGACCGTAACATTTATTCAGAACCTCAGTACCTTGCCTGTCGGCTTTGGTGGCATATAGGATCTTGCCTGTAGACAGAGCCTTCACTTCATCATCTGTCCCTACTTGCCTGGTGAACTTGTACGTTGCAGCTGTTAACAGGGGAAGTACCTGCTCTGTGTGCTTGTTCCGTGTGCCTGAGGTAACAGCAAACTTCTTCATATTAATTAGAAGCAGTCAGTACTCCTGCTTCAAAGCACTGGGAGTTAAAAAAAAAAAAAATCACATTAGCAATGCAGTCTTTTTCTATTACAATCCCCCCTGCTGACAAATAAAGAAGCAGAAAAATATTAAAAATATTAAAAAAAAAAAAATAAAACCAACAAGCAGTCCCCAAACCCTTGAAATGCTAATGAGTCCTGGGGGACAATAAATCAAGCTGCTGGTAGGAGAGATACCTTTAGATATATGTGAGGAACTTCTGACTCATCTAGTATCAGACTTAATGACCATAAGTGAGATGTGAAGACATAGAAAGTTCAGCATTAAATCTAGTGACAGGGCCAATCGTACAGTTAGAGGTTTTGGGGTTTTTTTTGATATGAGACTCTTAGTGAATCGATTTAGGAAGATAATGGAAGATATGCAAAGAAAACTGAACATGCTGAGTTTAGCAATGATCAGTTCTGAATCAGTCTAAGGAAGGGTATTAAATCAAAGGAGGTCTAGCATGTTATATAAGTTATTGACTCAAGTTATTATAATTTGAAGATTAAAATTAAAGCTGAATAAGGCTTTCTGCCTTAAAAGTGAAGACCCTGCCAAAAGAGTGTAGACTTTGTTATTATTATAAAAATACTGTTGTGACAAAAAAAGTGTAATAGTGCAACACTGACTTCGGTTTGGCACTGGATATGTACCCTGGGATTAATACTGGCATAATTGTGTCTGTAGTTTTACGAGTGAAAAAAACAGACCTTGAGAAACCATTAGTGACTTGCTGGTTTTTTATTTTTTTAAATCCATTGAATAATATTCAAGTTCATCTGTCGCAGACGTGTTCTTTTGTTTTGTTTTCACCCATTAGCCTTCATGCAAATTTAATTAGAAAGTAAGAAGGTAAAGGAAGAGAGCTGATCTCATGCATAAGCTACCTCATCTTTATCACTTTGGGCAACATAATAATTCAATCTCTGATAGGCTGCTAAAATTTTTAGTATTTAAATAGACATCGGTGAAGAAACTGCTTGCTTGAGCCTTCTGCGCACTTTCTGTCTGGTTAGAAAGGATTCGTTGTGTTTCTGCGTCTTGGTGTGAGTCTAATGAATGTTACTTTGAAATAAATTACAAGATACGTGTTTACTCGTCATAAGCCAGCTGACTTGTTACAAGCAGGGTTTTAGTTATGAGGAATTTTTTAATTCAGAGTTTTTACAAGTGGTTTACAGAGTGGGCTATGCATTATTTCCTTGCAGACCTCTTCCTTACCTTCTGTGTCTGCATCATAGATAGATAGCTCTTTGGCATCTACAGTAATTGCCAGCTGGGAGAAGTTATCTTATTCTACTATTGCAAATTGTCTTGTCAGAGTTAACTGAGAATTGTAGGGTTTGGGTTGTGGTGTTGGGTTTTTTGTTTGTTTGGATTTGAGATAAAACCTTTCTTCCCTTCTCTGGGAATTAAGAACTTTATCTAGATTTTACAAATGGTGTTGCTGCGTGACTCTGAATTTAGTTTAGAGTGACGTCAGGTCTTTGCATTGTGTCGTTGCGTTTTGTATGCTACATGTCATTGCCTGGGTGTTTTGGGACAGCTTTGCAAGAAACTCTGCATCTTACACGAGCAAGTAGCTAAATGAAAGCGTGAAATCTGCAGTCGCTACGCATAGAGAAACATGTTCAAAGTCCTGAGAAAATTTCCGTCTCTTTGCAGCGTGGTGCGGGTACGATCAGGAACAGTGCAAAGGCGGGTGCTTGAGCTGGCTGCTGGAGCGGGACGGGCGAACGGTGCTGCGGTGGCGGGCGGGCAGCTTCCTCCGCTCTCCTGCGGTGCACGCCGTGAGGCTTCTGGTGGTGTCATCTTGGGCACCAGGGAGCTCTCAGAAGGTGCCTACAACCTTCTCATAATAAACATGAACAGGAAATTCTGTCATGCTGCTTCTTCCAGTAGTTACAGGAAAGGCTTTTTTGTTTCTTTTGAGTATCAGTTAGCTGTTTCTTGTCAATTAACACAGGCAGAGGCAGGGTCCCCTGCCAGGCTGTGAGGAAAGGCTGCTGCTGTAGGACCTTCCTCTGGTCCAGTTGCCGTTTTGCTCTTAGTATTCTTTAGATCCAGGAAGCTACATCTTTGATCTTAGAGCCTTTCTCTAGATTTAATGGCGAAAATAAGTGCTTTACTTAAACCAAAAAGGTAAGGGTATTCACCTGCAGCTCCTGCTGTTTTGGCAAGGGGGGAAATCTGGCAGTTATAATGGGGTTTTTAATCGTTTTAATTTAATCAAACTTCTTTTTCTGTTTCTTCTGAATCTGTGAAGACCTGAGTGTCTAACAGTTTACGTTTCAGGAAGGGTGGGGAACCCAGACTGTCCCTTTAGAAATGATGTGACATAACAAATGTGAAATTTTAGAAATGAGAGAAATGTCCCTTGATTTCTTCCGGTAGTAATTGGTGGTTCTAGCAAGTAGCTGAAAATACTTGTGTTACTTGTGACTATCTAGCTGAATCAAAAATAGCTTTTTGTAAGTAGTTAGTCCAGTTCCTTTACAGTTGTACTGAAGTGCAGCTTCTAGCTCCAAAGTGATCTAAAAGATCTGTATACATATCTGCCAGCATCTCTAATGTCTGTTCTTTGGCATGTATACCAAATAACGGAATTTGATTACAGTTCTTGCTTATTTTCAGAAGACCTTGTGCACGTGTTTTTGACTCTTTCCTATAGTTTTTGTTACTGTATCATTTAAACACCTGTGTACAACAGAAAAGGGATTATAAAGCTTTCACTTTTCCAGTTGTTTTTTCAAACAAAGTTTGGGGAGTAAGGACCTCAAATGCAGAGAGGTGTTGTGTCTATGGCATTAGTTTTGATTGTTGAGCTTGGTTTTGTTTCTTTGTTTCACCTCTTATTCCTCTACTTGGTTGTTCTTAATTATTTCTGTATGTCTTTGGAGTTGTGGTTGTTTTGGGTTTTTTTTTCCTTCTAAGTAAAGTAAGTCCCTTTCATGTATTTTACTAAATTATAACTCAATATATTTAACCTTTTGTTTTTAAGGTGAGAAAGCAAGCTGTCTAATCAAAGAGCAAAGATGCAGAGCACTTCAAATTACCTCTGGCTGTTATCTGACATTCTAGGGCAGGGAGCTACTGCAAATGTTTTCCGGGGACGACATAAGGTTTGTGAGGAATTACTAATCTAAGTAACATGTAAAACCAAAATTTTTTCATATGTGAGTAGCATCATGAAATCAACAAAAAACCGTTCAAGATTTAGCAATATATCAAGCAATATAGCAAGATATAGCAAATATATCTTTGTAACTGCTCATACTTAGGTTTTAATTTTTAATACTCATCCATTAAATTAGAGTTCCATGCAGTTATTTCTGAGGATTTGTTTTTAATATTGTATTGTTTGTCCTTGTAAAATATTAACTGTTATTAATTCTTCATTCCTCCATTCTTCAGTTTTCAGAATTGAAATCGGAATAAACCTCTGATCGGTTTTTATTACATGATATGTTATTTTTGTCTTTGTTAAATTCTCTTTTCATAGGGTTTTCCTGTTCTTTTAAAACCCATTTTTTGTGATTTTTATGATTTTGTACCGTAAGTGAAATATTCTTAACATATTATCGTATTTGATGAAGCTGCTGTTAGTCTTTGTCCATAAGTCAGTGCTTCATACACGTCTAGGACACCATCTTCTTGGTGACATGCCTTGAGTAATCAGTACAAAATAGTACATCTTTGAGCAGTTTTGCCGTGTAAATGATACACTGATGTGTTTGTTGTAACCTGAGTGAGGGGCTAAAATGACCTTACTTGTGTAGGTCATTCAATTCCTATGAATTTCACGGGACATCTCACAAAATGAAGATAAGCCTAGTTATAACCATAGTAATGACAGTCTGTCTGAAATCAATATGAAATTATATATAAGCTACAGTATTTTCTATGTTCCACATTTAACTGTGAAGCAACACTAAGCAATAATTTAGTAGTTAATGTGCTTTTCTGGGTGAGTGAATGTCAACACAGAATGATTCCCTGGAAAGCTTATGGGTTCATGGTTGCACCTCTCATCACCCTCACGCAGGGAGGTACTTTTCCCTAAGAGGGACAGGAATTGCACTCTCAGCTGGTGCCATGGGTGCCTGAGCATGTTGGGGCTTAGTCCCACTTGAAAACTTAAGTCTCTGATTAAGATCATGACTGTGCTCCTGTTTGCTTATTATGTGGGTTTGAATTGCTTCGGGATTTTGCATGAGTGGTATGTAGTGCTTAACACTGCCTTCTTTGAAAAAACAAAATACAGCTTTATCAGTATAAACAGAACAATAAAGAAAAAGAACAATGTTCAGCTTCCGAAAGTTGTCTCTTAACTTAAGCAAGCCAAGATTCTCAACTGTAGTATGTGCGTGTCTCTTACTGATTTGTGCAAGTGGCTTACCTCTTGCTGAAAAAATATTTTTCAGATTAATTTATGGGTCATTCTTAAATGCATAGCCTTTCTTATGCTAACTGTTCTTTTTTTCAAAAGCACTTAGATTTTGTGGGCTAAAGTTGCATTTCCATTCTGCTAGTCTGTTTGCTTCTAGTCTATATTAAACTAAACTGATATATATGTAATTTTTTTTTAGTAGAATCTTAATTTCCACCTAAAACCAAAATACTGTTTTGAACTATTTCTAATCTGGGTATGCTCATATGCACAACAGAAGATCTCAAAATGCTTGGATAATGGGTATGTGTACATTTACAGTCTTATGCTTCTGTTTGATTAGTGATTTGTTTGTTTTGAACAGAAAACTGGGGATTTATATGCTGTCAAAGTATTTAACAGTATAAGTTTCCTTCGTCCTGTGGATGTTCAGATGCGAGAGTTTGAAGTATTGAAGAAACTAAATCATAAGAACATTGTCAAATTGTTTGCCATCGAAGAAGAGGTAATGAATTGTTGTAGTTGTGAGCTGAGATGTATGGTAGTAACCATAGTAACTGTCTTTTTGCTTTATCCTTGCTATAGAGGATAGTTACATTTTTAAAGAATAGTAACATATATGTTGATATAAATACTCTGACCCAGCCACCACCTGGTTTTGTTTTTCTTTTTTTTTGTTGTTGTTGAAAGAATATGCTTGCTTTCAGTGTTTAGGCACAGGTTATGATTCTTCAAAGCCATCTCGAGAAGCCACTGTCCTAAGCTTTATCTTGAACTAGGATTTTTAAGCTATCTGCATGTATGAATATTAAATACATAGTGATAGTTGGAGGTGTTTCAATGCTCCGGACAATTTTATGCTTTTGCTTTGCAACCAACTAAAATAATGACATAGGACCTGTAGAACTGTGTGTTAATATCGATTGCAGTAGTTGTGCTGAAGCTGAGACTGATCAGTTGAAATGACCCAGATACTGAGATTAGTAAAGAGGAAAGATGGACAATTGTTGCTCTCTGCTCTTCTGTGCTGTAGTTTCTCATTTGTCCACCTATCGATACTGCTGTCAATCCTCTAAATGCCTAGAACTTGAGGCTTTCTTAATTTCCACCCCCCTCTCCAAGTTAGAATACATGAAACAGTACAAAAATTCACCTGCACTTCTTTTGAAGATCACCAGAATGGGATTTATGATCTAGCTACAGATTTTCTTTTTCTTTTTTTTGAAAGTAAGATCCTGTGGTTATATGTAATTTCTGACACTGTTTTCACAATAGTCACAGACTTATCTTTTAAATTTTTTTTCCAGACAACGACTAGACACAAAGTACTAGTTATGGAATTTTGTCCATGTGGGAGTTTATATACAGTTTTAGAGGAACCGTCTAATGCCTTTGGTTTGCCAGAGTCTGAGTTCTTAATTGTTTTGAGAGATGTGGGTATGTAGACTTTGCTTTTTAGTCTAATTCGTTGACTGAAATGAACTCACACTTGTTTTGTATATCTTGAAACAGCAAGAGAGGAGGAATTTGAATGACTGTCAACTGATTGAGCAAATTAATATGGTCATATCGAGTCACATCTTTTATTTATGCCTATATTGGTATAGATAGCTGCAGTAAGAAGCCATTTCTGTTTAAAGCATTGCTATAATTCTTTTTTGTTTGTTTGTTTGTTTCAAGATTATTTGTCACATGTTGGACTGATTCCTAAAGATAATTAATCTCAGAAGAGTTAGAAAAATAATGAAGTTTACCTGTGTCTGCCTGTTATAAAATTTTCCTCCATTACTTTATGGGAAGGATGTTGCTCAGAGCAAGAAATACCGTAATTTAGCTGTTGGAAAGAAAAAAAAGGCAAAAATGCTAGAATATTCTGTGGACCTGGTCTTTTTGTTAATTGAGTGTCTCTTCTTGTTCCCATTTCCCAGTGAGAAAGTAAACACACATGTGTTCCTAGCCTCAGTTACGATTCAGCGCTTGCGCAGTCTGTGTCAAGATGTATACATAAATTCTGTATTACTTTTTTTCTTACTGAAGTGGCTGGGATGAATCATCTCCGGGAGAATGGAATAGTTCACCGTGACATCAAACCAGGCAATATAATGCGTGTTATAGGTGAAGATGGTCAGTCTGTTTACAAACTTACAGACTTTGGTGCTGCAAGAGAACTTGAAGATGATGAACAATTTGTTTCTCTCTATGGCACAGAAGAGTATTTAGTAAGCCCATATGATTTCACTTTCTGTTGAAGAAATGTTTGAAGCCCGGGGCCTTTTGTGTTGAGAGTTGAATAGTTGAAGGTCAGGTTGTTGGGAATTGGTATTTAAACCTTTGTATTCTAATTGTTTTTATTACTTTCCACCTTTTTCATCTTGGGTCATGCCAGTTCTTCTGCTGATCTGAGCACCGTAGCCTTTAAATAATTTCCAGGTCCAACTTTCACTGTTGCCTTGTGTGAAAGGAGGAACAACAGTATTTTAGTTATGAATGTCTTTGCCTTTATCTCTGTAGATATTTTTCAGTTTGTATTTGAGCTACTTGGATGATGTTAGGTGTAGTTAAGATCCACTTGACATCTTAGTTAGCCAAAGAGAGGCAGGCAGAGAAGCATCAGTACAAGCATCTTAGGCATAATTTTCTTCCTGCCATGTTTTCCCATGTGTAGTATCGTAACTGATATTCTCCTCTGCTATGGATCTTTTTCCAATTTGGTTTCTGTTGTTTCAAAATAATCTGGAGGAATACTGGCTTTCTCCTCGTCTTTGTGTTTTATTCTAGTAGTCAATCTTTAGCTAAATTTTAAAATATTTTTTCCAAACCTTTAATAAAAGTGTCTATTGTACCTAGGAATGCTTTTGTGGTATTCTGTCACAATAACTTCAGCAAATTCTATGATACAAACTAACTTTGCCTTTTGATTAAAGAGCTGAAAGTTTAGAACGACAAATGATCTTGCTGTGAAATGGTAGAATGATAGATGGGGGTTTTGTTCTTTATATTGTTCATAAAGCAATTCTAACAACTTTTTCCCCATTGTTTTCTCTTTAGCATCCCGATATGTATGAGCGAGCAGTTTTGAGGAAAGAGCATCAGAAAAAGTACGGAGCAACAGTTGATCTGTGGAGCATAGGGGTGACCTTTTACCATGCTGCGACAGGGAGTTTGCCTTTCCGACCTTTTGAAGGACCTCGTAGAAACAAGGAAGTGATGTAGGTAATTTAGAGGGAGGATTTTATCTGTTTGTAAATTATGTCGGTCGATGAAATACTTTTTATCAAGAAAACCTACGCACATATAGTAAACGTTAATATAGTGAAAATATTTAAGGAAAAACATTCTTTAATTTTGTTGTGGTTTAACCCCAGTAGGCAGCTGAGCACCACACGGCTGTTTGTTCACTCCCCCACAGTGGGATGGGGAAGAGAATTTGAGGCGTAAAAGTGTGAAAACTCGTGGGTTGAGATAAAGACAGTTTAATAAGGGGGAAAAAAAAAAAAAAAAAAAGCCCCACCCCTGAACCCAAAGGAAAACAAAACCAAGAAAAACAAGTGATGCAAAAAAACTCCAATTGCTTCACCCACTAGCCAACTGATGCCAAGTCAGTCCCTGACCAACTGCTGCCCTGGCAAATTTCCCCACCCAGCTTTTATTGCAGAGTATGATGTCATATGGTATGGAATATCCCTTGGGGTCAGCTGTCCCGTCTGTGTCCCCTTCCAACTCCTTGCCTGCCCCCAGCCTACTCGCTGGTCGGGTGGTGTGAGAGGCACAAGAGGCCTTGACACTGTGTAAGCACTGCTCAGCAATGGCTAAAACATCCCTGTTTTACCAACAGTCTTTTAGTCACAAGTCCAAAACACAGCACCCATATGGTGCTACTATGAAGAAAATTAACTCTATCCTAGCCAAAACCAGTATAAACATTCTGCTTCAACAAGGATTTTACTGTGTGGCACCTTAAGACATGAATTAAGCATCAGAGCTCCCCCAAAATACTGATGTGAAAAACCACCCATCTTTCCTTCACCATGGCACTAGGCTGGTCTGTTGCAGGGTGGTGTATATAACTTGGATATTCAGGCAAAATTATGGTATTCTGAAATGGGTTTTCGGTGCTGCAAATTTTTGTTGTCCTGTAAATGACTGTCTTCCCAGGCAGTCTTGAAATGTGTGCATTACCCATGAGACTGACGGTTTTTGAGTAGCATAGTTGTGGACTGTGGCTGAAGATAACAGGGTGTCGTGGTTTAGTCCCAGCCAGCAACTCAGT